TAGAAGGAAGAGATGATCGGTTCACGAGCAGCTTTAACTGAGGCGCTACAGCGATCTGTCACGACACTTTAAAGAGCATCAAAACGGTATTTATTATTATTTAAAAAAAAAAAAAAATTACCAAATTAAAAAATTTAGACCTTGTTTCATATCAAAAATAACCTGGTCAGTGTCCTCTCTGCTCCACGATGTGTGTTTGAGAGCGGCGTAGCTTGTCGGACATAGCAACAGTAAGTAAAGGGGGCGGGCCTTTGCGAACGGTCAATTGATCACAGACTGTAAATATGGGCGTAGTGTGCGTGACGTCACCAGTGTTTGTGAAGAGCATTTTTGAAGCCCAAAGTGGGCGGAGCCGGGCATCACCATCTTGGCCGCGTGTCACTCCCGGATAAACGTAAATGTGCAGCGAGGCGGATTAGCTGAGGTGACGCTAACACACAGCAGACAAGCGGCTAGTAGTGACATCAGCGGCAATCCACCTGTCACTCAAGTGGCCACGCCCTTAATTATGCACAACTTTAAGGCTTAATATAATTTAAACGGATGAGTTATAAAAAAATTATGTGCACCTATTAAACCTTTAGAATAAATCAATGTTGACGCTAACGACTGCGATGGAGTGTGTTTATCAGAACACACTCCATATGAAACGCGCCGGCCTTCGCTCTCGGACTCAGCGCCGCATGCTTCATAAAGAGCTGTAATGAAAAGAGCTCAGAGCAGATTTGCAGTTTTAGAATAACTTCACAGATTTCACAGCGTGGGATTGTTATTAAAGAGTCAGCTGGACGTGCTGAAACGTGTCACACACCTTCAGACTGTTGATCTGTGTGTGTTTGCATACAGTGTGACTGTTTTTATTGTTTGCAGTAAAACTCTATTTAGAATATATAAATGTTGACTGGCTTCTCTAGATCCACTGTGCCGCTCGCTCTGACCCAGAGACGCCCTCACACTCGCATCCTCAGTGTTTCTGTCTCGTTTCCAGCTCAAATATCGAAACACTCTTAAATCAACATACATTTACTGGAGAAGAAGCGAGATTACTTGATAAGAAGTCTTATTTAATAAGAAATTGATCAAAATGATATAATTCATTAATGCTAAAAACAAGAACACATATCTGTCAGTGGAATCAGGAAAATAAACACAATTCAAAGGGAAAACAAGTAGATTTTTTTCTTTTTCTTTTTTCAAGTAGATTATTTCTCAAAAAGCTAGACTTCTTAACCCGTCATTCTGCTTCTCCAGTTAATGTATCTTGATGTAAACGCTCTGAGTCTGCAGTTTTATCATTGCACATTTCCATGTGGACTGATGTGAAGTTACACTGACCAATGGATGTTGTCTATCAGTCAGCCAATCAGATCTGGTGACCCTAAAACAACCTGTGATGATGAATCTCTGTTTGCTTATAACAGTATGAACATCAGCGTCCTTCAATAATCTATCTATCTATCTATCTATCTATCTATCTATCTATCTATCTATCTATCTATCTATCTATCTATCTATCTATCTATCTATCTATATATCTATCTATCTATCTATCTGTCTGTCTGTCTGTCTGTCTGTCTGTCTGTCTGTCTATCATCTATCTATCATCTGTCTATCTATCTATCTATCTATCTATCTATCTATCTATCTATCTATCTATCTATCTATCTATCTATCTATCTATCATCTATCTATCTATCTATCTATCTATCTATCTATCTATCTATCTGTCTATCATCTATCTATCTATCATCTATCTATCTATCTATCTATCTATCTATCTATCATCTGTCTATCTATCTATCATCTATCTATCTATCTATCATCTATCTATCTATCTATCATCTATCTATCTATCATCTATCTATCTATCATCTATCTATCTATCAATCTATCTATCTATCTATCTATCTATCTATCTATCTATCTATCTATCTATCTATCTATCTATCTATCTATCTGTCTATCATCTATCTATCTATCATCTATCTATCTATCTATCATCTGTCTATCTATCTATCATCTGTCTATCTATCTATCATCTATCTATCTATCTATCATCTATCTATCTATCTATCTATCATCTATCTATCTATCATCTATCTATCTATCATCTATCTATCTATCTATCATCTATCTATCTATCTATCTATCTATCTATCTATCTATCTATCTATCTATCTATCTATCTATCTATCTATCTATCTATCTATCTAAGTATCTATCTATCTATCTATCTAAGTATCTATCTATCTAATGTAATTGTTCATAAAGTCATGACTGAAAGGTAACAGATGTACAGGTCTAGTGTGGAGTTCATGAGCGACACACGTGATCCGCTGCTCGTGTCTTCAGGAGAATGGAGTGATGGATTGAATGGTGTGATGGATTGAATGGTGTGATGGATTGAATGGTTAAAGTGACTGACACTAAGAGCTTTCTGAGATCCTGAGAGAGCCAGTGCAGTTCTATATATGTTGAATAACCCTTCCTGCAAAGCCTC